TCCCTCTCTCTGCCTTCCTATTGCCTTATAATTCGATTCTCTCTAGATACTTCTCGTGAGAAGCCTTCCCTGGATTGGAATAGAAGAATGCATATCACACTTGGAGCTGCACGTGGACTTCTGTATTTGCATGAGCAGTGTAATCCAAAAATAATTCACAGGGATGTGAAAGCTGCAAATATTTTGCTTGATGAAAGTTTTGAAGCTGTGGTAGGGGATTTTGGTCTTGCTAAGCTCTTAGATCAAAGGGATTCACATGTTACTACTGCTGTGCGGGGTACTGTAGGACACATTGCCCCAGAATATCTTTCAACTGGACAGTCTTCTGAAAAAACAGATGTCTTTGGATTTGGGATACTACTCTTGGAACTCATCACAGGACAAAAGACATTAGATGCTGGTAACGGACAAATTCAAAAGGGAATGATTCTTGACTGGGTAAGTAATTATAATGGCTGTCTATTTATGCATCTTTTTTGCTGCCAGTTCAAGTGCATGGTGCTTTACTTAGAGAAAGCTCAGGATCCCTGCAAAACACTAGTATAAAGTATAGGTTTTTAATTAACTAATGTGATTCCTAGTTTCAGCTAAGTTCCAACAAAACACAGCAGGTGCCTCAAATGTTTGGTATATATTTATTCTGCTGGGCTAATTTGTCTTAAGATTTACCCCAGCTCCTTCGACCTACCCCAGCATCTTGGACCTACCCCAGCATTATCATCTTGGATAAGACCCACCCTGTCATGTTGACAAAATCCTGATCACTCAACACAATAGATGTGGCTTTGTTGTGACAACAGCCAGCACCAACTTAAGCCTCTTTTATAATGATATTATATTTTTGCCTTCATGTATTTGTCCACTTTTCTTTTTCCCCACTTAAGATTTTCCTTAATTATTCATAGTTTGAAGATATTTCTTGGTTGATACAGGTTAGAACATTGCATGAGGAGAAGAGACTTGAAGTGCTAGTGGATAGGGATTTGAAGGGATGCTTTGATGCATTAGAATTGGAAAAAACAGCAGAGCTAGCTCTGCAGTGTACTCGGCCACAACCACACCTTCGTCCAAAGATGTCGGAAGTTTTGAAGGTCCTGGAAGGTCTTGAGCAGTCAGGAACAGAGGAATCACAAGGTGGAGCAAACCTTTGTGAGACTAGGGCATGTAGCTTCTCTAGGAATTACAGTGACATCCATGAAGAGTCATCCTTCATCATCGAAGCAATGGAGCTTTCTGGACCTCGGTAATAGAAAGTATAGATCTGCCCTTTCCCATCCATTTGTACATGATTTTTGCACTGGAGAGCTTGGAGTCCACATAATTCTTTTTGGGCCTGTTCCCTTTTGGGGATTGTATTAACTTCATGGAACTAAAGTTGTGAACTGTTAAGTGTTAGATTGAGGATCTCTCCTATAAGTTGGGTGAAAATGTCCAAAAATTTTTGACTCAGGATGTGGAGAGTTAGTCCTCTGTGTAGACTGTAGTTATAGGAGTGTACCGTTGGTTATAACGGAAGCATTAAGATTGTTGAGTCTAAGATTTGATTGTAACACATATATTAGATACAGTGAATGATAAATGTAATCAAGCTTTCACGGAGAATTATACTGGAAATTTTATCAGTGAAATAATTTGTGGTTGTTCAGACTGGTAAGTTTGGAAGAAATGGAAATCATATTTGGCAAACGTCAATAGCAGGAAGCATCGTGCCAAGCTTGATTTGATGCAATTGAAAGGATAGAATTCAGCTGAACATACTAAAGTAGATGTGTTCAAACTATCCAGCTCCCATGGCATATCACCGGCCAAAATTTGTCAGGGCTGTCGAACTTGCTAGGTATTCATCAGTCAAATGGATGATCCTTTGTTGCGGCTGTGATATGTACTGATCGAACATGGTCAGCCATAAACACAGCCAATTCCTCCCAGAATACTAATCAGTTTGGTTTTCTTTTTGGCGTGACTTTGATTAGACTCTGTTAAAAACCAAACCAAATGCCACCTAAACTTATCAAACCAGCAGCCAGCCAGCCACCATAGCTTTCTTCATGAATAATTCACCAACAATAAAAAAAAAAATAGTAAGAATTAAATAAAGCAAGTGGAATGTTTACCACCTGTAAAGATGTTCCCTATGTCCGTCCAGGCTCATTCTTGGCAATTTGTTGGACGTAATCAACTGTTTAAGTGGAATTGAGAGAAAAAAAATTGACTATTCTGATAAAAATCGTTTTGTTTAAAGATTGAAATACCTTTGCGTATTGTTCTATATCTGAAATTTCCTATTGCAAGTTGTTACGAGTCGAATATTAAATTAAGCAAAACTAATGAAGCAAACCACAATAAGGGAATAGATCCCTGTACTCTTTAACGCTAACTCTAACTCTAACATGCTTTTGCCATTGAATCAACTTAAAAAAATGCCCTTACAGGTTAAGGGTATGTAGGCCTCGGATTGGATTATCTACGGACATGAACTGAAATATGGGAAGGGTGGGAAAGGTTGGCCATTGTACCCAGAAGGAAAACAGGATTAAAAGCCAGGATGTGACTGATACATGCATAGGCCATTGTTCACTTGGCAACATCAGCCACCTGCTTCTAGTTACTTGATTAAAGGAGAGAATTATTCAGCCGCCTCATCCACAACTATCAGCAAGCTGCAAATGGCTTAAGTAGCCGCATCCAATTTTTACTAAGCAATGCCATAGTCAAAAGCAGCAGTCGACCTATATCCCTTTTGAAGCTCACAATTCTGCCGAAAGGGTTAGCCCTATTCCTTACTGTTGTGAATTACCTAACTCTTTATTGATTCTAGATAAACCGTGTCCACATACTGAAGTCATTGATATTAATTAACAGAGCACCCAGTACCCGAATCCTTATGTTATTTATGTATTAAAAGCCTAAAATTGTAAGGCATCCGACCTTGGAAACGAAATTGGTTAGAATTTATACAAATAAAAGAATCATGGGAAACATTTGCTTTCAAGGATATGTTTGATGAGGTCCACCTACTTGTCTTCAAAGAAAATCCTCTCGACCAGGGCCAATCCTGTATTATTTGTTCACTGAATTTTGCTTCAAAGAATAGACCATTTTTCTTTTTCTTTATTTATCTTATCCCGTTTGCTTTGCGTTATTTATTTCATCACATAAATGGAGTGATGGCGCAATGAATTGCAAACCAAGAGACTTGGAACAATTTCCCCTTCGGTTATAACACCTCAAAATCAGACGTAACTGGTTGGCAGGCCACAAGCCAACCACAGTCTCGATCTCTGTCAATTTAGGGTTTGACGTCAGTAACTTGCTTAACATTCTATTGGTGATTATATATATATAGGACCCACTGCCGTAGCCATGTAGGCAGGGCTCTGAATCATTTTGGGACATTATCAAAAGTCTGTATATGAAACGTCGGGGTCAAATCGTGGCACCTAAAAAACACACGAGATAGCTACGCAATGGCTTATGCGAGTCCCACCATGGGCCGACTAGATGGAGACTAAAATGTTTTCATATACCATGACCGCTCACTTTTGTCCATAAATTCTTTGTTTTCATTCAAGCCTACTTGATGAACCATTGTGTTAAACAAATCTTATGGCTTAACAAGATATAAATTTCAAATACGACTTAACCTTATTCCATTTGTTGGTCTGTTTAACGTAGCAAACATTATTTAACCCCTTGCGTTCATGGCAACTTGACAAATGGATTTCAAGTATATTAAGTGCAGGCTTCTAAGAGTAAGAAGCAAGCAAAAGTCTTTCTCTTTCCTGGTTAATACAACAAAAATAAGTAGTCACTGACCAACTTAATATCTCATTTGAGAGGTTACTAAAAATTATATGGAATTTATTTTAGTAAATCTAGTCGGTCCACATAAGCCAATAGCCACGCAAAAGACACATTTTGTCGTCCGAGTGGAGAGAGGGAATCAAGCTATAAACAAAAACTAAACAGCTGATTGGGCAGCATCGACTGCCATGGCCAAAGCTATGGGAACCCCTTGTTTTTGAATCACTTGTTTTTCAATGGTTTCAAGGGTTTTTTGCCCTTTTTCGTTGTTTCCGTGACTCAAACGGCTTTCTTATTTTAATACTAATACGTTATTTTCATTTTAAAAAAAATAAATAAGAGATCATACCAAGTTAAATATTTAAATGTATCAAAATTTGAATTTTGAAAGTATAGATCCGTGACAATTTATATTAGAGTTCATTTAGTTTTTCATTGATGTGAGACTTAGAGATACTAAGATTGAAATAAATTCGAATCAAGATGGTCCATCTTTTTAATGAGTAAAAAAAAAGTCAATGATAAAAACTCTACATAGTTAAGTGGAGATACGAGAATTGAAATAGGTAGGGATCAAGTTGGTCCATTTTTGTTATGAGTGAAAACAAGTTAATAATGAGAACTCTGCATAATTAGATAAGAGAGAATGTTACGGATTTTATATCTTACATATTTCTTCATTTAATAAGTATGTATTTTGAATTGAAACTTTAGAAGTGTAGTATAGTAACACAAAAAATACTTTGATGAAAAAAAATATTTTGATTTTAGTATTTTTAATATTTTTTTTTGAATTTGAGAGAAATGATGCGAATTTACTCTTTTAAGCAGTGAAATTATATATAAATCAATAAATTAAATATTTAATATAAATTAATATTTATTAATAGAGTGGGGAAAATAAGATGAGTTTCTTGGAATGTATTCAAATTATGATTCCATTCATATACCTTCACAAGCGCAAAAATGGTTCCAATTAAAAACTAAATAAAAAAAATCAGTCCTCAAAGTTCTATACGGGTCACCCGAACCCGATAAGTAGAAGTCCACGGATCCCGCGTGATTAGTCTAATCCCCTCCACATGTACCTTGACTCACGGCAAACAAAATTCACTTCACCAATACGAAGACTTATCCTTTACCCATTCTAAATGCCTATTGTTTATATTTGTGTATATATATATATATATATTAAAAAATTTTCTAGAAGCCAAAATATTTCCTAACCCATCAAGATAAGCATTACTTACGTAACGCCCAGTATCCGGAAATGAACAACCTTCTTAAAATTCCTGGATCCCTTTGATTAATGTTGTAATACTATTAATGTTATCTGTATATTATTTTACTAATTTAAGTCAGTATTTATGTAAATTTCACTCAACCCATTTTCATTTTTATACCATTTTTTCAAGTTCCTTTCTTCACCGAACCTTTTTCACTGTCTTTAAGCCTATATAGATTCTCACAATTTATTTGTATTTTAATGGAGAAAGCGTCTGGTTCTGTTAAGCCGAATAAATCCCATTTTGGCTAAGATCTTTCTCTTTTAGTGTTTCTTCGGTTTTCCCATATGAGAGTAAACATTTTTTCTTTGACAAAGTTTTGTTTTGTTTTTTTTATTTTGCTTGGAGTTGAAGTGATCAAATGGAGTTAGGTAAGGATCTGATTCTGGGTTGTTTTGGAAGTTATCAAAGGTTCGATTTTTATTACGTTGGGGGAGTTTATTAGCTCTTAATTACTCTATTAGTGTTGATTTTTTTTGTGATTATGGATTTTTGAATTTTGGGGGGTTTATGCGCCTGAAAAGTGATTAATTTCAGGATTTGGGTTGTTCACATTGGTTATGGTCTCCGAGTTGGTTTTAAGATGGAGAAAATAGTAGTTCTTCTCCATTATATGATTGCTCACATGTATGCTTATTGCTGTGGTTTTTGATAATTTTGGAGGAGGGGTGTGTTTTCTTTTTTGCCTAAGTTAGCTGAGATTAATGGATCCAGAGCAAAGGGGTAATAGGGTAGAAACCAGTGAGAATTTGAGTCAAGTTGAGGAAGGAGTCAGCGGAAATTCAAAGAATTCCGTTAATGGAGTTGTGTCTGAGACTGTTATTGTGATAAATGCTGAAGAAAATGTGTGTTTTAGTCGAGAAAACGCAGATTTGAGATTGCAAAATGATGGCTTTGGATCGTTGAAGGATCAGGAGGTGGATTATGGGAGAGGAATTGGTCCGCCATTGATTCAGAATGATCTGGAAAGTGGTGGGCATTCAAGTAGTTTTGCTGATAGAAATGCGCTTGAGAATGAGGAAAGGGATTTTGGAGAGAAAAACAATGGAGTGGTGTCAAGTGAGGTGTTGGGGGAAGCAGGGGGGGAAATGTTTAATCAGGAGACAAACCAGATGGGAGGAGTTGGTGAAACAACGGGTCAAGTTGATCAAGGAAGTTGCGGAAGTTTGAATAATTCAGTTGACAGATTTGTTGTTGAGACCATTATCATAGTTAACACCCAAGAGGCAACATGTGTGGATGGAAGTAATAGGTTAGAAGTGAAAGACAATGGATTAGGTTCAAGTAAAGTATTGACAGAAAAGCCAAAGACGAAGGTTGCTGAAGCAGAGGACTCATGTGTGATAGATATAAAGGGGACTGATGGTGGTGGAAGACAGTATAAGGAGAGTTGGGATGGTGAAAGGGTTTGTAGAATTTGCCATTTGAATACAGAGCAATCACTTGAACCTATGGATGGTACGTCAAGTACAGCAGCTACTATGGATCTAATTCAGCTTGGTTGCTGGTGCAAAGATGAGCTAGGAATTGCGCATAGTCATTGTGCAGAGGCATGGTTTAAGCTGAAAGGAAACAGGTATTTTTCTTTCTCTTGAAAATGAAACTTTAGGGGTCTGACACAGGTCTTAGAAAAAAGATGTGCTGTGTTGTTGCTTAATTAAGCTTTGCTATATTTACCGTGTTATTATGTGTTAGGTATTGATGGTATCTGTAGCTTTTGGCTTCTTAACTCTTGGTGTTAATTTTCCTTCGCTCCAATTTGGAATTAGTTTTAGAACCAACTGGAATTTTCTTTGTCCTCGTTGAAACTATTTTCTTTTGTGGATACCAAATTTACTCTTAACCTTTCAGAATGAGGAGCAAAAATAATATACAATAAGTAGAACAGAGGAGTTAATAATGTTTTCTCCATTATCATTGTTTTTTTACATTGAAATAATCTCTTTGGAATCTGAAAACACACGAGTGAGAAATGTATACTTTGATCAATATTGAATCTGAGTTTCTAGTTTACCTTGTCTGTTTGGATATTCTTGTTTTTCAACATGTTTGAGAGAAGTTAATTGTTATCATATATGTGATGGAATTGGAATGAGAGTTCACCTAGAGTTGCAATCTTAAATTGGCCCGCTAATGGCATTCGAGTCAGCAATATTGATTCTTCAGTTCACAATTAATTAGCTGCTTAGGCTTCTAGTGGTTGGTGTGAAATTTGTATTAATAATTGTGAAGCAACCCTTTTTCTCTATTCTGAATTTACATGTATCTCAAACCAACATTTGATACTTATGGGATAACTTGGAAGCAGAACATGTCAGCAATTCTCCTTGACATACCTTCTTATCTTTAATTTACTCTGCAGAATGTGCGAAATTTGTGGACAGACTGCAAAAAATATCACTGGTGTTAGAGATAACAGATTTATTGAAGATTGGCATGACCGAGGATCTACTAGTGGTGGTGGTAGATCCTCAGATCGGGGTGGGGGATGTTGGCGTGGGCAACCATTCTGTAACTTTCTGATGGCATGCTTGGTAATAGCCTTTGTACTGCCATGGTTCTTTCGTGTAAATATGTTTTAGCACGGTGTGAACAAGACCTAAAGGTTCTTCCTTTGCATCACTATTTCTTGCCTGCTTGTCTAGCTGGTGCTCCTCTGGAATTTGGGGTGGATATGAATTAACTTGTCAGTGGAGCTATTTGGTTCTTGTTCTCATGCCCTAATAAAAATTCCTAGGCTTAATGGCTTGAGGCTTCAACTTTTAGAAGCTGTCATCGTGAAAACAAAATTCCATGCCTCAGTTATTTTACTATGCCACAGTAGCGTTTGCTCGCATTGAGTTGTTTGGTATTGGGCCTCTTGGCGTAATGGTTTAAGCTTAGACAAGGATTGCTGAGGCTGCATTACTGGGGAAAAGTTTTTTTTTTTTTTTTTTTACTTTTATTATTATCATTTTCACTGTTGTTTTGGTCCTGTTTTTACTATTTCTTGAATCTAAATCTGGCATATGCCGATTTCATCTTGGGAATTCCCATTGTATACACATATGTAATCACAACTTTGGTCAACACATTTGATCTTATAATGGAAACTTAGTTTGCAATCACATTCTTTTGGGTTCTGAATTTTTTGGATAACATGATCACTAGCTCATACATTGTGCTTCTCAAATAATTCAGGAAGAACAAAAATCTAGCAAATATGTGATAAATCAAAGATGGATCAAAGATGGATCGGCTTACGCAAGTGTTACATAAAGCGCTTCAAAGGAAGTGGGCTAAGAATCTTATAAGTGTGGGTATTGTACATTTGAATAGGTTAATTTTTTTGAAAAGGACGTAACAATTTCGTAATAAAGTGGTATTAGATCGGATCTAACTTAGACTTGATCCAATGATGAGAGCATCACTAGAATGGATGAGAGATAATGTCACATCAAAGGTTTTAAAAAAAGCAAACACGGTGCTTCAATTTCACGCTGAGCAAAGTGGGGAGCTTGAGAAGTTTATATCCGTGAGCATGCGCACCCCAAAAGGTCAACTTTTTCTTCAATTCAATTTCTTCTGATAAAAGGAAACGGGGAGACATTCAAAGGAAGTGGACCTGGTTTAACAATTAAGGAAAGGGCTTTGCTCTTTATGATCTTACCAAGGCCACAAATTTTCTTATAGCTCATCATCAACCTTAGAAAGTGATTCAATATACCACTTACAGAGAACAGGCGCAAAAGGACCTGGAAGGAGCAAGTTTAACGATGGTATGAATAAATAAAAATGTATAGGGTGAAGAACTCCATCATGGGGAGACTGGAGTTGCATTACTCAAGGACAAAGAAAGTGGATAATCGAAATTTTACTTGGCATTCATAGATTTGTTGCTTACTTCGATCCTCTTCCTTGAATTATAATTGAAATAAATTTAAAGACCACCTTCGATCAAGCATCCGTTGTAGTCTAGTTGGTCAGGATATTCGGCTCTCACCCGAAAGACCCGGGTTCGAGTCCCGGCAACGGAAACTATTTTTATAACTCTGCCTCTTCATTTTCCCGTATTTATGTTTTGGGCCCAAAAGTGAAGGACAAAGTAGTAAATTGCGGAGATAAAACCCTAGCCAGCCCTAAACTCCTCTCATTTAAGCTCCCCTTTGTCACTCCACCGCTGCTCTCGACCTCCTTCACTTCGCCATGGTACTCTTTCTCTCTCTCTGTCTCTGATCTTTTATTCAGACATCTTTTCTCTTATGTTAATACATGTCTCACTGGCAATTTTTTTGTTGTTGATTGCTTTTGTAAATATGAAAGGCATCAGAGAAGAAGCTGTCGAACCCAATGAGGGAGATTAAAGTTCAAAAACTTGTCCTCAACATTTCCGTCGGTGAAAGCGGTGATCGTCTCACGCGTGCCGCCAAGGTAACCAAAACGCACAGAAGTTCTATTTGTTTTCTACCGGCAAACCTTTTAATTGAATATTAGTTAATCCTTTCGCTTCGCCTTCGCCCCATTCTGCCCTTATTTAGGTCTTGGAACAACTCAGTGGCCAAACCCCTGTCTTCTCCAAGGGTAAAATTCTGAAACCGATGTTTTTTGCTTTCCTTTTTTCGCCAGAAAACCGATGCTTTCTTATAGATTTGTCTTTTTGTTGGTAATGGAAAAAATGTGGGGTTGATATGAGCAGCTAGGTACACTGTGAGATCTTTTGGCATCAGGCGCAATGAAAAGATTGCTTGCTACGTGACGGTGAGGGAGAGAAGGCTATGCAGCTTCTGGAGAGCGGTTTGAAGGTAAAGGAGTATGAGCTTTTGAGGAGGAACTTCAGTGATACTGGATGCTTTGGATTCGGTATCCAGGAGCACATTGATCTTGGTATCAAGTAAGTTCATTTTTTGGGTGCCTAGTTATCAACTTTTGATGCGTTTTAATTAATATTTTTATGTTGATTATGTGCGCTGGATGCTTGGTTTTAGTTTATACTCGATGAGAACCCAATAGAACTGAGGTGGGATTCTTTGATACGTTTAGGTCATTGATTTCCGTTGAAACTTTATGATTAAAATGCTGTAGTTTCTTGAATGGCTACACGTTTGCTGGTATCCTGCCATGTGTTTTGGTTTAATTTTTGGGTTTGGGATAGTTACGAGGGTTTAACAATGGAGCTTCTTTGCCTATCAATCTTCCTTTAGGACGATATTATGGGTTACGGAGGCAAATTTAAACTGGGTTAAGTTGTTTAAAGGTTTGGCTTTCTTGCTGAAGTTAGTGTGTGAGTCAAAACTGGCTATTGCCATTGAAAGGCTGCATTACTTTAATCATGTAGTGGTTAACACTAAGCAAGAGATCTTGTGGATATCTAATTTTATCCCCAGGAATGAGTTAATATAGAGTAGTTATTGGCAGCTTCATTCTACTAGTAGATACAATCAATATTGTTGTTTTGAACTCCACCAATTTCAACTATTGTTCCATTTCTAGGTATGACCCTTCAACTGGTATCTATGGTATGGACTTCTATGTTGTTCTGGAGCGAGCTGGCTACCGTGTGGGTCGCCGTCGCAGATGCAAGTCACGTGTTGGTATTCAACACAGAGTTACCAAGGAGGATGCCATGAAGTGGTTCCAGGTCAAATATGAAGGTGTCATCCTTAACAAGTCCCAAAATATTGGAGCTTAGGAATCTCAGTTACAAGCTTAGTTGAGTTTTTGAGTTTTGCTACTTGATTTTGACTCCTTTCTGTGTATCAGTTTTTGTTTTCCTGAAGATATTCGTATTTGAGTTTAAAATCCTAAATACTCTTTCTGTTTGTTTGTTTAGTTAATTAATATAAATGCATTTGGAAAATGCTTCTCTATTTTGATATTTTAAACCGTATTCTTGGTAGTGCATTATTGGACTTGGTGTTGTGACCATCGATCCTCCTGAAAGCTAATGTCTTCTTTTACTTAGAGAGAAGTTTCTTCGATTTGGTATTTGCAATGTCAAATAAATCGGCAAATAAACGGTTGCTGAAAATCAGGCCAACGTACATGCAATGGGCGATACAATTTTCCTTGACGAGAGGGGGTCAAAGCGGTGATGCCACAAGGGAGTTACAAATGGGTTAATTAGTTCAAACAGATAAAAGGAAAAGCGGAAAAGAGCTTGGTTGCTTCGCTCCGGATATTATGACCTCAATAGTCGAACAAGCTCACTCTTCTTCAATCTCGAGTAACCCTTGATTCCTCTGGCTTTTGCTAGTTCTTTCAACTCTATAAGTTTCAGTGTCTCTATGTTTGCCAACTTTAACCCCTCATTGGTCGCCACCACTTCATTGTTCTGCTCAAGACCCTTGACTCTGGGGGCTGTTGGATATGGTATCGGCGACCTCTTTACGAAATTAGATGTGGCCTTGATAACTTGAAATCCAGTGTTGCTGCATTAGCCTTCCTTCCCATCCCTTGGGTTTTCTTAGGGACGCCACTTTTCCATCTCGGTGCCTTCCCTCCCTTATTGGATCCAACGCCTGCCAAAATCGTAAAATTCTTCAGTTTTGAAAGTAACCGTTTTGAAATGGCAAGAAAGTGTGGCTTCTATCAGTGCATGCTTGGTAGTAGCAATCATGTCCAAGAAATTAAATCAGTGTGGAAGAATGTGATGCCAAACAGTGTTACCTCGCACATTCTTTCTTGATTCTCGAAGAACATCCAAAACTGATTCAGCTGTGGACTTATCCTTGGATGAGCTCAAACGTTTGGCCTTGGCGCTTCCAGTCTCTCCCTTGGAGATAGAAGACTGTATCCGTCTAAACAGAGCAATTATGTCTTCCTGGTTAGATGAGTTGGGTGCTTCATTACCAACAGATGGTTTTTTGCTTTCATCTTCCTTCTTTCTTCCTGAGGCAGAACTTTTCCTAGGACGGCTTCCTCTTCTGTTCCCATCTGGTGTTATGCTTGAAACAGTTGCCTGAAGAGAGCAAAAGGGCCTAGACTTATCTGCAATCTCTGTCAAATTTAATAAGCTGCATCAAAAAAGGATCCCTTAGTTTCTAGTTTAGAAAATTTCAGACCTCCATCAACAATATATTGATATACTCATGATCATACTTCCAAGGCAAAAGCCAAGACGTAGGAAGGAGAAGACATAATGTTACCGACTTCAAGAGGAACTAACAATCATAGATAGTCTTGAACAATATGCAAATCTACATTTGCACGCTGAAATGTCAGAATGTTAGAAATCTCCAGTTTATGAGGTCCTGAAATTCACTTAAGTAGCCCGGAGTAGGACTTACAGGAACTTCTCTACAGCTACAACGTAAGGATACAAGCAGGGGATCATTATTCAAACAGAAAATAACCCAGACAAGAACAACTTTCGCTGCGGAAGATCTATCTCCCTCAAACACAGAAGGTACAACCAAAAGGGAAAAAAGCTATAAGAAAGAGGTTGGGATTCAGGGAAAAATGTGGCGTGGCAAAAGTTGTTACCTGTGAGAGATAAAACAGGTTTTCTCAGCTTGAGTTGCTTGTTGACAGGGAAGCAAGAAGGGAAATGAGAGATAGATTGGAAGGAGAGAACAGCAGCAGCCATATTTTCTTTGCAAATCCTTCAGATTCAACATGCAATTGGACCCACCAGCTACATACAAAGCTCAAAACTAAATTTTCTTTATTCCTAAAAATTGCTGGTCCACACGTTTTTTCTGGGAGCGTGGACGCCACGTGACGGACTCAGAGAAATAAAAGAGTTCGACAAAGCAGTGTTGCTTTATACACTTACCCAACCTTGCTTGTGAGTGTTCGACCTGTTCGTTGCTCAGCAAAGCGAAACGAATCTATCGAACGGTTAGCTTTTAGGTGGCGTTTGGTACATTAAATGCAATGTGATTACAGGTAATGTGATTGCAAGTAATGTGATTGCAAGCAAGTGATTACAGGGAAAATACATTACAGTGTTTGGTATGTAAGTAAAATAATGATTAAAATGTAGGGAAGATAACATTGCAGTGTTTGGTTTACAAGTACTTTAGTGGAAATGTAATGCTAATTGTCAAAATTACCCCTAATTATTAAAATATAAGTTAATATATTTATATTTTTTATTATTAATTTTTATATAATATCATTTTTAAATATATTTTTAATATCATATATTATTATTTTTATTTATTATTATAATATTTTATATTTTATTTTTATATATTTATATTTTTTATTAATTTTTATATAATATCATTTCTTAAATATATTTTTAATATCATATATTTTATTTTTATTATTATTATAATATTTTATATTTTTATTTTAATATATTTATATTTTTTATTAATTTTTATATAATATATTTCTTAAATATATTTTTAATATCATATATTTTATTTTTATTTATTATTATAATATTTTATATTTTATTTTTATATATTATATTTATATTATTAATTTTTATATAATATTATTTCTTAAGATATTTTTAATGTATATATTTATTTTTATTTATTTATATAATATTTTATATTTTATTTTTAATATATTATATTTATATTATTAATTTTTATATAATATCATATTTTAAATATATTTTTAATGTCATATAATTTATTTTTATTTATTATATAATTTTTTATTTTTTTTCATTTCTTTAATATATTTTTTATATTATATATTTTATATTTAATTTGTTTATCTATATTATATAAATATTAATTTTATTTATATTTTATTTTTATTTTATTTTTATTCTTATATTATATATTTATTTTAATTATAATATTATAAAATATTTTAATAAGATAATAAAGTTGAAGGGTAAATTTATCTTTAAAAACATTGCAGAGTGCAATGTAATGTGATTGCATTGGTTTTGGACTGCAATCACATACATCCATTGGCTGCAATGTGGATTACATTACAATCTTACATTGCAGTGATTTGTTACAAAACAAATACTGTATGTAATTTAATCAATCACATTACAGGTAATGTACTTTACATCCTTCAAAACAAACGACCCCTTATGGTTGGAACGTCACCGCGTTTCCACAACAGAGGCTCCCTGTTTTCCCATGGCCAAAACGGCACCGAACTTGTGTTTCTCTCCTCTAAATCAGAACCAAAGCCGTAAAGAAAGCTTTTTCAAACCTCAAAATAGTTATTTCATCCCTAAACCTACTTCAAAAACCACTCTTTTATCTCCATTTTTCAGCTCTTACACCCCTATCCAAATCTCATCTCCACCAGGAAACACCATTGATCACCAACTTACAGATTATAATGCCAGAATCTTTCAATTCTGTCAATTGGGTAATCTTCACAATGCCATGGAATTGCTTTCCATGTCTCCAAAATCTGAACTTGAATCCAAAACTTACTGCTCAATTTTACAGCTTTGTGCTGATTTACAATCATTGAAGGATGGAAAAAAGGTTCATTCAATTATTAATTCTAATGGTGTTGCAGTTGATGAGGTCTTGGGCTCAAAGCTTGTATCCTTTTATGTAACTTGTGGGGATTTAAAGGAAGGGAGGAGGATTTTTGATGAAATGGGAAAAAAGAAGGTTTTTTTGTGGAATTATATGCTGAATGAGTATGCAAAAGTTGGTGATTTTAAGGAGAGTATATATTTATTCAAGATGATGATGAAAAAGGGAATTGAAGTGGACTCTTATACTTTTTCTTGTATTTTGAAGTGTTTAGCAGCTTCAGGAGGTCTGAAAGAAGGTGACCGTGTTCATGGCTATTTGTTAAAATTGGGTTTCGGTAGTTATAATAGTGTTGTGAACGCTCTTATTACCTTTTATTTCAAGAGCAAAAGAGTTGAAAGTGCGTCTGAACTATTTGATGAATTGATTGATCGAGATGTTATAACATGGAATTCCATGATAAGTGGCTATGTGTCAAATGGTCTTGCAGAGAAAGGGCTGGAGGTCTTTAAAGTGATGTTGTATTTGGGTATTGATGTGGATTTGGCTACTATTGTTAGTGTTCTTGTGGGTTGTGCAAATTCTGGTACTCTTTCATTGGGGAAGGCTGTTCATGCTTTGGCAATAAAAGCTTGTTTTGAGAGGAAACTCAACTTTAACAATACTTTATTGGATATGTATTCAAAATGTGGTGATCTGGATGGTGCCCTCAGAGTTTTTGAGAAGATGGGTGAAAGAAATGTTGTGTCATGGACTTCTATGATAGCAGGTTATACTCGGGATGGTCAGTCTGATGGTGCTATCAGATTGCTCCAACAAATGGAGAGGGAAGGTGTTAAACTAGATGTAGTTGCTATCACAAGCGTTCTTCATGCTTGTGCTAGAAGTGGCTCACTGGAGAACGGCAAGGATGTACATGATTACATAAAGGCAAATAATATGGAATCGAATTTATTTGTGTGTAATGCCCTCATGGATATGTATGCTAAATGTGGAAGCATGGAAGATGCAAATTCTATTTTTTCTCGGATGGCTGTGAAGGACATTATTTCTTGGAATACCATGATTGGAGGTTACTCAAAGAATTGCCTTCCGAATGAAGCTCTTAAAATGTTAGCTGCGATGCTCAAAGACCTGAAGCCTGACAGCAGAACACTGGCATGTATTCTTCCTGCTTGTGCTAGCTTAGCTGCTCTAGAAAGAGGAAAAGAGATTCATGGTCACATATTGAGAAATGGATATTTTTCAGATCGACATGTTGCCAATGCACTTGTTGACCTTTACGTAAAGTGTGGAGTTCTAGGTCTTGCACGTTTGCTCTTTGATATGATTTCTTCAAAAGATCTAGTCTCATGGACAGTAATGGTTGCTGGATATGGCATGCATGGGTTTGCAAATGAGGCTATTGCTACCTTCAATGAGATGAGAGATGCAGGAATTCAGCCTGATGAAGTGTCCTTCATTTCCACACTGCATGCTTGCAGTCATTCTGGACTGCTTGAGGAAGGTTGGAGATTCTTCTATATAATGCGAAACGATTACAACATTGAGCCCAAATTGGAGCACTATGCTTGTATGGTAGATCTTCTTTCTCGGACTGGTAATCTTTCAAAGGCATTTGACTTCATTGAAAGAATGCCTATAGCACCAGATGCCACAATCTGGGGAGCTCTTCTTTGTGGTTGCAGGATTTACCATGATGTTAAATTAGCTGAGAGAGTTGCAGAACGTGTTTTTGAGCTAGAGCCAGAAAATACTGGGTATTATGTACTTTTAGCAAATATCTATGCAGAGGCAGAGAAGTGGGAGGAAGTGAAAAGAGTGAGAGAGAAAATTGGCAGGAAGGGCTTAAGAAAGAACCCAGGCTGCAGTTGGATAGAGATAAAAGGCAAAGTTAATCTCTTTGTCGCTGGAGATAGTTCACACCCACAATCCAAGAAGATAGAATCTCTATTAAAGAAATTAAGAAGAAAGATGAGGGGAGAAGGCTATTTCCCTAAAACGAAGTATGCTTTGATTAATGCAGATGACGTGCAAAAAGAAATGGCTCTCTGTGGGCACAGTGAGAAATTAGCCATGGCTTTCGGATTATTAAGCTTGCCACCTAGCAAAACAATACGAGTAACCAAGAATCTCAGAATATGTGGTGACTGTCATGAAATGGCCAAGTTCATGTCCAAGGAAACTGGTAGAGAAATTGTCCTGAGAGATTCAAATCGATTTCACCATTTTAAGGATGGATATTGTTCTTGCAGAGGATTCTGGTGACCAGGAGTTCAAACAGGGCTGTTTTAACTCAAAAGACTTGGCGGGTAACATAAGCATTAGTGAATTAGATTTTTTTTCTTTGTAATTAACAGCCTTTTGTGTCACTTAATACACAAAGAGATTCGAATTTTCCGTTTATTTAGTAGGGAAAGTGGAAATTCGGAAAAGCGAATCCTGCAAAGCAATAAGACAACCATTATATAGGATAACAGAGCATTGGCTTTGGCAAGTAGGTTCAAGCCTTTTAAAACAATAAAAAAAAACATTAAAATGTTACTTTGTCTGAATTTTTTAAAAAGTAATTTCTCAAAAATAAAAAATTGCAATTCAAGCAGTAAAGGGCTCATAGATTCATTGAAACAAGGCTGCAGGTGCAGCGTCGCGTCATGCTGTGGGCTTCACAGGTCTTTTTTAGACACTCCCTGCATACTTGACTTGGATTACCCAGGAAAAAAAATCTAAGCAGTAGTGTTCTTAAAACCCTTTTTACAATGATTCAATGGTACTAAAAGTCTTCTCCCCCTTCATCCCTTGGTCACTTTCTGATCCAGAATGAATCAATATTGAAAAAAAGGAAATGAAGTAGAAGATAGATGAGTGGCATCTCAAGAAGAAAAAAGACTGAGTGGCATTTAAAGAAGAAAAAGAGAGTTTAATTCAAATGATTAAAGTATTGAGAAGATGATGATGGCCATGATTATCATCACTTCGTTTGTTGAGCAACATGGTTTGAGCATCCGTTTTCTTAATGATTGTGGATCCAATACACAGCCATTTATCATGCCTTCCCCAAGAGCTTTCTTGATTTGTATTTGTCCTGACAATTTATAAACGAAAGCTTGCCATAATGTACGGCATGCCTGCATATGTTATTTCCTATATCAGATCAGAAACTTTAATTAGAAGCGCTTGAGGGACAGTGCTATAGAGAAGTACAACAATCTTAAACTTACGAGTAAAGGGAAAATCTTTGCAACTTGACCACGTTTGTTGGCTCTGGCCATCCATCCACATGGTGTGGTCCATTGTGAGTGCTAAAAGGAGCATGGAACTTCAAAATAAAGTACCTAATCAAGCCAGAACACAGCTAAACCAGCAGCTACGACCCAACCATCAAACTATTACAGAAACCATACAGTTGGATCTGTCATAATGTATCATCATTTTCCATCCCTATAATTTAAAAAGTAGAAATTCATACAACACCAACAACTTGGCTGTTGTCATTATCTCCAAGTTCAAAATAGGAGAGAAGATTGTCTAGAAGGCCTGCCCACATACTAAAGAAAATCACCTTTCCCATCAGCACAATATGAAGCAAACAACAAATTTCTGCACTCTGTGACTCAGAGCTTGCAATGCATATAAAGAAACATTGGCAACTTCAATTCAGCTCAAGTGGTCGGATTGAGAAAGGGTTCTGGAGAAGATCCTAGTTTTTGACCCTAAATACTGGCCACTTGTGCAAAAAAAACAAGTAAAAGAGCAACAGCTATTTGTGGTTTGAGGACAATTCAAGAATCGGAGACAGCTGCAGGCGTCGGCAGAAATGAGAAACAATATCTAGGCCAGTAGTTGCAAAAGACACTTGGTAGTTGTCAAAGGCGAAAGCTGATTGTTTACTTTTTTGTCTCAACTTGCCATCGATACCTGTACTGGAAAACCTTTAGCCAAGAATTCCGTTGAGGCATTGACAATTCATTAAATGAACAAAGATTATTTGCCTCAAGACTTCTGTCAATTAACAAATACTCTAAACCAAATTCCTTAAACAAGAAATCTGCAAATGTTTTATTTACTCTTAATAAGCATAGTTCGATCACAACACGTTGAGCCAAAGAAAAACATCAAGAATGACCAGAAAGGATAAAATTAAAAAATGGTGTCAAAAAGCAAACGCTCGAAGATCAAGAAGAATACATATTTTTGAGGAAAAAAAAGTGACACATTAATCACTTTTTTCCTCTAAAGCATCGGCAGCTCCTAATGAACCTCACATTGCCCACACCTCATACCAAAAATATATGAAAAACACTGCTCTTTTAACCATTCAATGACCAAAAGATCAGCAGCAAAAAATAACACACCAGTTCAATGATTCCTTTGCCTCCTTTTTTCCTTTCTCTCAAAATTCCACCTATAGCTACCCCTTTTTCATAAGTCAAGTGTATCAAATATCAATAATAAATAAATGGAAACTCTAATTACCAATTTCCCCTACTCTAAAGCCTAACCAATAATCAAATGGACTTTATTCTTCAACCACACCATTTTGAGAGAAGAATCAAGAAAACAATAAGGAAAACTATTGAAGAAAGCCCAATTGCGACACCAAGAACAACCTTACTTGGCCCGTGATGGTGCTCCTTCTTGTCACTTGAATCATCTCCGTCATCATCATAATCTGAAGAGTCACTTTCACTATCTCCAGAAGACTCCTTAGAAGGCGGGGGCGACAGCGGCAATCCATGCTTATCACAGGGAGCAATTCCAAGCTTCATTTTTGATGACAAAACAGAATGATTGTAACACAAATTGTCATTCCCACCAACCTTGAAAACAGCCAATCTCTTTATAAAACTAGCATTGAAAGGCAAAACCCCATGAAACTGATTTTTCTCAAGATTCAAGACTTTCAACCCTTTCAATTCTGTGAAAAACCTCGGAACAGTCCCATTCAACTGGTTATTACTCAGATCAACATGAACCAAGCCTGGAATAGCTGACATGGAATCTGGGATTGGCCCAGAAAACGAATTGGAAGCCAAAGATAGATTCTTTAACGATATCAAGTCACCAAACTCAGTGGGAATCTCCCCATTTAGCCCATTTGAAGAAAGATTCAAGTACTCAAGATCTTCAAGAAGCGTAAAGGAAGTTGGTATCCTTCCCTTGAGCTTGTTATCAGATAAATCAACATGAGTCAGATTCAGATGCACGTGCCTTGGAAGATAGCCTGTAAGATTAGCATGAGAAATGGTGACTGTCTTCAGCTTATGCATGTTTCCAATGATTACATAAAGGCCGCTGGTGTTAACTGGAGTATAGGAGACTGTGAGATCAGTGAGGTTAACGAAACGTGAGAGCCAGACCCCGGGGAGGCGGCGGAGAGAGCGAATGCAGGAGAAGGAAGTGAGGGAGAGAGAGAGATCGGAAGGGAAACGGATGGGGGAAGCGTGGCAGTTGGTGAAGGATAGAGAGCGGAGGGAAGATAGGGACTTGAGAGCTGTGAAGGAGAGGGAAAGGTCGGTGGAGCAGTTAGAGAGATGGAGGGAGATGAGATGGCGGAAGGGCTTGGAGCTGTCACAGATGGTGGCGTTATGAGGGGAAGGTTGGATGCAAGGGTCTCTAGTGGTGGGGATGTCGAGGGATTGGAGTGCTTCTATCTGTTTGGGATCTAGAGTTGAGCGGGAAGAAGAGGGAGTTGTGTTGGTGGGTGGAGTAGGGGAGGATGTGGGAGAGGGAGTAGGGGAGAGTGTAGGGGCTGTGGGGGTGGCTGGTTTGGTAGCATTTACAGTGGCAGCGGTGGTGCAAAAGAGGAAGAGGGGCAAGAGGAAGAATGGCGGTAGTGGCAGTGGTTTCATGGTGGAGAGAGAGAGAGAGAGAGAGAGAGAGAGCAAGTTAAGTGAAGTTGGAAGTGAAGTGAGAAGTGAGAGGAAGAGACAGAACAGGGGAACAAGGACGGAGGGGTTGGATTTGTGTGGGGTTTGACAGTTGGTCAAGAGTTTAGGTCTTGGATTTTGATGTTTATTACACAACTGCACCACAATTTATTGCAACTTCACATGCCTCGATTTCTAAGATGCTGAGGACACTGTTCTAAAATTTAATAAGACCATTTTTCAATTGAAAAATATTTTTAAATATTCCCTCAAAATCAAAATAAAAGAGAGAAGAGCAAAAAATGGAAACTTGAAGTTATGACTCTTACTTAACATTAATTCCCTCGATGAGGTTAGCAATGTAAAATACAGAGTAATCAAAGGCAATTGAGCCCACATGATTCCTAAGATAGACAAAAGGGGACACAGTCTGAGATTTTCTGTTGTTTATGGATAACAAAAACAATACCGGGCGTCAAAAGATGAGTTTAAGTTTACTACAAGGTAATTTAAAAATTAAAAGCCTCCAAATATTTTTTCAGCTGGACTTGCGTGGCTTCCAGCTATTTTCCACCCTTTTTCATTAGTCCAACCTTTTTCTCTATATAAAGAAGTGACTGAAAAGGATGCCTACCCTCAATTGCCGAGGACTTAAACCCTTTTACAGTACTTGAAATTGATGAACAGACAACTGTCTCCTAATCTTACTTCCACTTTGATTTTTCTTTTCTTTTTCTTTTTTCAAACAACTTATCAAGAACTTGAATTAAAGCTTAATTTTTCTACTAATATTTTAAGGATAATTAACTTAAAAAGCAAAATTAGAATAAAAATGTTCTTTTGCTCTTTTAGAAATCTGGGTGTTATCATTACACACCAGGGGATTCTTTCCTTTATATTTACACTAGAAATTTGATGTAACTTGTTGGAGTGGCCGACATCATTAATCATGTATGCCTTGGGATCTTGGTTTCCTCTCTATTACGTTTCCCAAGATTTGTCATTGCTGGCAAGCCGAAAGCTACGATTTCCCGGTTTGCTAGGGAAGTCACTGTGGTTTTCCAAGCCCAACATGTTTGGTTCTGTGGGATTCTCCTCATATTAGACCCTGGAATTTCCTCACCACAAAACGTTTTCTCCCTTGGAGAAATTTGTGCTACAAGATATTAGGCAGATAGTACAAGTGATGGCAACTGGCAATGACTGCTAAGTATCGTTGCCAACTGTGCACAAAAATTGCAGGTGGTGCAATCAATCACACCCTTTTTATCTTTTTTCGGAGAAAAGATCTTTTTAAGTGAAAGCAGGCCGATTCTGATAAAACTTGGATTAGAATTTTGTTACCTTCGCGTTGAATTTGTTAGATTTATCTTTTGTCCCTTCAAGGTCACCTCTAGGCTTTTAGCCTGCGAAGATTTCTGTGATGGGTGCAGAGCCAATGGCCCTTTGCTTTATAGTTTCTGATTGACGTCACTCTCTTCTCCTTTGGCCCGCATCGACCGTTTTGCCCTATGGTTGTCTATTTTCTTTGTTTCTATGGGGACCACAATTTCAGTGGTGAAACAAAAGGTTATATTTTTAGTACAGGTAGTCATGTGACCGTTGGAGACTGAATACCCGGTCTCATACATGTGTTTTCTCTCCTAGTTGAGCAGCTGGAGGGCGGTGGCTAAGTCTTCTTTCAGAACGAAAGGGACATATTATTAGCTAACGTGTTTTAAGGCAATCAATTCCCGTGCATGGTTATGGCTCTCGCACCAAACAAAGGTACAACGGGCACCGCAACGTCCTCCTATTTTTGCTTCTGTCCGGATACGGTAATTTCAATGGAAGATAGAGGAAAACTTTTGGGACAGGTACCATATGTTGACTAAAAGTTCATATCAGGTCATTTCCATGAAACGAATGCAAAGCCATGCATGAGATTTGAAACAAATCATAGAAAATGGACAAACATTCCATTCATTTTCCTTTCAATGGTTTCAATAGTTGTTGGGAAATAGTAATTCCTATCTTTCCATTGATATATCTCACAACATTGCTCTAGAACTTGGATACTGAAGAGAAGATAGGCACAAACAGTTCAAAACTTAGTCAATAGACATATTTGCAGTCCAGTTACTGCAATTCCATTTTGACAAGAGGTAATATTGCCATAATAACATCCCAGAAGTCTTGAATTCAAAGAATTGCTATTAGTCTAACTCAGCAATCAATGGAAATGCAGCTCTGGCCCACGGTTGTGCTATTGGCGGTGTTCACAAATGGGTTGATACGGACCCAAACAAGAGAGAAGACAGAAGCCAACAGCACTGACCATAGAACAACTATGGTCGGAGTTCTGTTTTGGCGACCCATGAGACCTTTGAGGAATGGATAGAGATGGAGGATCACCCAGAAGGAAAAGAACACTTTGCCAAAAAGTGGCCCCCAAGCCTCATATCCTTTGTTGAGTGCATCGGAGAATCCAGCAACAACACCAACCATGTTGACAATGAGAAGTGTTGTTGGGGGTATCAAAAGTGTTGTCCATTTGACAAGGTAGAGCTCACCAAACTCTGCGTCATCAGCTGCTTTGGCAGTGACAGTAAAGTTGGTGTCTATACCTGCCAGCATCTTCAGGAAACCTTGGAAGACGGCAAAGAGATGGGCTGAAACACCTCCAATGACCCAAAACTGCTCATTACGCCACAAGTCCTCGATGCTGACACCACTCCATCGGAGCTCAAGCACGGCAGTCACAATAATGGAAAGGAAAAGCCCCAGAAACAGAACGCTTGCTAGGTTTGAGAGCTAATCATCAAATTAGAAAATGTGAAGCACAGTAAGCCTTTATGGTCTTGAAAACTAGCTTAGGATACAGGAATAACCAGCACTCAAATTTATTGTGACAAATAGTTATGGGACAAGATAATTACCGTTGGTATGATAAATTTTCCTGTGAGAAGACAGATTGCTGGCAGTGAACAGTAAGCAACGAGAGGAAGGGATGTAAATGGATAGACAATGGTGTTGACATATGCCAGTCTTTGAAGCCATTTAAGACGGCCACCTCCAAATCCATACCATAAAGGGCAGTGCCTGCTCAGGAAAATTTCCACGGATCCAAGAGCCCATCGAAGAACCTGGTGCAACCGATCAGACAGATTGATGGGTGCAGATCCTTTGAATGCGGGCCTTAAGGGCATGCAGTAGATTGACCTCCATCCTCGGCAGTGCATTTTGAAACCAGTTAAGATATCCTCAGTGACTGAACCGTATATCCATCCAATCTGAGCACCCAAATAGTAGAAAGTTTTAACGTTGTCATGCAAGGATGAAACAAGTATGACTTGGACCAAAGTATTTAGTACATGTAAAACATGAGAGCAGACTAAAGTCAAAGCAGTTCAAGGCCTCTATGGAGGAAAGCAAGAAGGGTTAACATAGATATTAAGCTAGGGAGGTTAATTTATAATGAGACCCTACTGTGAAGGTTTTGCTAAAAGAGTGATCAGAAGATAATAGCATTGAAATCAAATTTGGCAACAGAGTTGGCTCCATTGAGATCTTGTAGGCAGGACAAACCGAAATCTATTCATAGAAATTGGTTCCTTTTACCTCCTTATACTTTAAAATTAACAGCATTAAGTCTCATATGATAAACAAGAATCAAGATTCTAACCTCTTTTCCCCATTCAGTCTTCTCTTCATAGCCACAGCTAATGACATGAATTGCTTCCTTGATTAGTGTGGAAGGGTTGGCAGATTCAGCCACTCCTCCATTCTCCATTAGTGTAGATTCAATGAAGACAGTTGATAAGCCAAAAGTTTTCTCAAAGCTCATCTGAGAGATCAGCATTGATCTTTCATACTCATCATAATCTGCAGAAACAAGACCAGAGATATGTCAATAATTCAAAAGCTCTGTATACAACAAGTCTAGCTTAATTTTTCTCAAAGATTAAGACTTACTGTCAATCTCCCTAAGGTTGAAGATGGCAGCATCCAGTTCTTCCCGTTTTGCATCCCGGTAAAGCTCTGATGGTGCTTTTGGAGCCTTCTTGCCGGGGCAACAACATGAGCAGCAGCCACACCATGAGCAGGATGAGGAAGAGGACTTGGGTAAGCTGGGCATTGAAGGAGGTCCGTAGCCATAAAGTGCTTGCCTATTGAAAACACAACCTGTTCCCACATAAACTGGTCCTTGAATTCCATCGAGACCTTTCATGTTAACCTGAAGTTGGAATTTGGAAGAATTGTCAGAACTCAATAGGCTTCTGTTATAATGCAACCACAACTTAAAACTGTCACAAGCATTTTAATCAAGCAGAAAATTAATTTAGCTTTAATCTTACATCAAAGAAGACTGTGTTGCGATTGGCATATCGATCACTCCTATCTATGCCATCAAATCTTTGAGGAAACTGCACATAGCATACATCTGGACCAACTTGTGGGTCCATCAGGAAGCACATAGCTTCCCGAGCTGCCTGGCTATTGTTAACGTAGTGGTCACAATCAAGATTGAGGATGAAGGGAGCATTTGTTAGAACTGCAGACACCCTAACCTGTAAGAAGCAATTCACTGTTAGTTCAAAGAGAATATATAAGCGTTGTTATGAAGGCAGGTTTTGCACTACTATGTATACGCACCAAAGCATTTTCAGCACCAGCCTTTTTGTGGTGTTGGTAGCCAGGTCTCTTCTCTCTAGAGACATAAACCAGTCGTGGAAGTTCATTTCCCTCAATGTCACGGGCACCACTATATCCAAGGAAAACTTGAATCATGCCAGGGTGGTCGCGCGTGTTATTTCCTGGCCAAGGAGTTCCATCTTGCATTGTCCATCCTTCCTCAGGTGTTTTCTGAGCCTTTGCAACTAAAGCATTAATTCGAATTTTGAACTCTTCATAATCTCTCTGTGACCAAATTGAAAGGAAGTTTAGATAGCCAATAACTTCCAATATCAAAGGGGTATGAATATTCAAGAAATGTAGCTAAAGAAAGCTTAAGGCACTTACTTTCATTGCTCTACGTTCTTTTACGAAGGAGGGCTGCACTTTATCCTTCAAGTAATCAATTTTCTGTGAGAAGTAAAACTCGGGTGCCCGTGGTTCAATGGAAAACTTTTTGCAGAATGGAA